AGATTTCAGCTGTAAAATGGAAGTAGAAGGTCTGCACTCACTCTAGTAGCAAGAATTAGTTATTTTTTACTTATTTTATGTTTATTTTTTGATACATGTTGCAAAAAGCTAAACAAGAGTGTAAGTAAAGCTGCTGAAGGTGTTACTGCAGTAACCAAAGTTCTCAGAGTGTGGGAATTCCCTCTTTTCTCTCCCAGTGCGTCTTATTTTGACGGCAGTGGCTGGAATTGTTGGGGGGCTGCTCTTGGCTGGGAGCTGGTGGAGATTTGGCTCTGTCCTGCTCTGCATGTTTGTTGTTGGACTCGTGCTGGGATTTCTCTTTTCATCCACGCTCTTCTTCACTCCTCTAGGTAAGCACTGAAATACTGATGTCCTCAGGGCCTTTAAAAAGACTTTAAAAGACACAAAAGCCAGAAGAATTTGTTGCTTTGTGTTGTTGTGATGGTGACCCTTGCAACATACTCTGGAGTAAAACCTAAATAGATGCAGGTTTTTAGCTCAGAAACCCATACAGGCTTCTAACCCCTAAACTCAGGGGCAGCAGCTCCCTGGTACTTTTCTTTCTTACCAGATGAGTAACATGGACCTCATCAAAAATCTTTGGTTCAGGACAAGATCTGCTGTCCCAACCCAGAGCACAGAGACTGTGCTCAGCTGGGACAGCCTAACTGTTCTTGTTCTTGTCTAACTGTTCCAGTCTATATTAAGCAGTCAGCATTTGAGCTCAAAAGCTGACCTTTCCAACAATGTATTGTTGAAACTCCAGGTATTTCTTAATGTACAGAATTTTGGGGTAAAAAAGCTCACCCCCAACCACTTGCAATAAAGGAAATGTTTCACTAACTGGTAAACATGGTGTCTTTGCAGGAGACTACAGGGTGTTCCGTGATGATGTGGTGTTCTGGGTGACCTTCACTTCTGTGGCCTTGATGGTTCCAGTGCTTTTTGTTGGCTGCCCAAGAATTGTGAGTACTCTGTGCCCTCACCTCAGGAGGAGAGAGGGAGGAAGGGGTGTCAGATTGTGTCATCTTGTGGGATATGTGTTGAAAACTTAACAGCTTCCAGGAGCTCAGCACAGGACCAGTTTCAGGCAGTTCCTCTTCAGCCCCACTTGTGCCAAATGGTCCCTAACCCAAGGAATGGCTCCTTGTAATGTTGTCCACAGCATCCCCCAGCACCTCATTTAGTTGGGTTCTGTCTTAACAGGATGGCTGGAGAGGTGTGAGAAACCAATTCCTCACAGAAGAACTGAAAAAAATACAAAATAGTTGCCCAGAGAAGCTGTGGCTGCTCCATCCCTGGAAGTGTCCAAGGCCAGTTGGATGGAACTCTGAGCAACCTGGTCCAGTGGAAGGTGTCCCTGCCCATGGCAGGGGGTTGGAACTGGATGGTCTTTAAAGTCCCTTCCAACACAAACCATCCTGTGATTCCTTGATTCTCCTGTCATTGGGAATAAAGAGTGTTTCTCAGTCTCCTAAAGCTGTGGTTTGTCTCCCTTCCAGCTGAACATCCTGGCTTCTGGAATAGTGGGCTCTTACACAGTAGTCCTGGCTATTGCTTGTTATGTCTACACAAGCCTTGCCTACATCACCTTGGACCTGCTCCGAAGGGTTCTCAATGATTACTTCAACAGAGCTTACACCAACGTGCCTTTCCAGAGGAATGGTGAGTCCTCTTGGGACTTCTCTCTCTTTTTAAAGAGGAATCACTGACTCTGCTTCTGTTGTGAACAGGGAGTGAGGGCAGGAAGGGGTGGAAAGAGAACATGTGGGTATGTGGAGACAAGATATCATTTCTCTCACTGAACTTGTTCAGTGTTTGTGCGTGGGAAAGGAAGGAATGTTCTGCTCTGGTGCAGGAATCTGTTTTCCTTTTTTCCAGACCTGATTATCCTGTCAGTATGGGCAATGCTGGCCCTCAGTGGGGTGACTGTGCAGCTGCGTCGGGAGAGGAGTGAGGTGCCCTTCCCACCACACCCCTATCTCACCTGGAAGCGGGAAAGGGAGCGTAGGAGCACCAATGTCCTGGACCCCAGCCATCACATCCCTCCCCTGAGAGAGAGGATCCACAACAAGCTGCTGCACATCAAAGAGTTCTTTCAGAAAGACCAGCCAGCCGGGGAGAGAACTCCACTGCTTCTGTAACGTGCCACGACTGGTGGGAACGGAGAGGAAGGACCTTGGAACGGCAAGATGATTCCCAGCAAACCAGGCAGTGGTGCAGGGTTTACCACTGCTCCTTTGTCCTGCTGATTGAGAGGTTTGCCCAGCAGGAGCAGTTCCTGTCAGTACACACTACATGCCCTCTGTGGCTCCGCTGTAACGTGCTCGTGTCCAGCTGCAGGGCCTTGTCCTCGGTGTTCATCTCAGGGTGGTCTAGGTTGCTCTTTGGGTGTGGGAAGTGTCAAACAGGCCTTGGAAAGCAACCTGGACCATCCTGGCTGTTCCCTTGCGTGTGGGAATCACTGCTAAGGTGCTGCCTGGGTCACTCCTGAGTGTGTCCAGCTGCCAGGGCAGAGACAAGGACATACCCAGGAGTTCCAGCAGGAGCTGCAGCATCACTTCGTACAGGTACAGAATGTGTGGCTGCAGGCACAGCTGTTCCCAGCAGAGTTCCTGAGCCTTGCAGGCTGGACCAAGAGACTTGAGTTTAAACTGCACTGAATGAACTGTTGTCCGTGTGCACTCCGGGGCTTGGGATGTGGACCTGACCTGGGATGAGAAGACTCTTCCTCCTTTGGGTGGTTCTATAGCAAGCTGGTCATCTGGTCTGTGTGCAGAGGTGATTGCCAAGAGAACACGAGAAGTTCGTCTCCCTGGTTGCTTTCTGAACAGCCTATGTCTTGTCTCTGCTCTGGTATGATCTCTTCCTTTGAAGGTGCTGTTATAAAAGAAAAAAACTAAGTAAGCTCTTTGTAGCCAGTGGCAATTTTTTTCCTTGGAGTTGGCTGAAACACTAATGTTTATTTTTAATCATCTTTTAATTTTGCCTGTCAGGGATGTGAAAACAGCATTCAGCCAGCAAAATACTGACCAGGATCCCTGCTGACTGAATGTATTCCTTACCTATTGGAATTGCTTCTGCCCAAAGCAGAATGTGGGATAAAAAGCAGATGAGGGACCACTCCTTGTGTCCAGTGGAGGATTGGGATCTCGTGTGGTGGCTTTATTCCCTTCCTAAAAAACAAAACCAAGGGTGGTTGAAGTGTTGCATCCTGTATCCTGATACAGGTTATAGTGACTCTTCCTTCTCCCTGGTTTTGAGACTTTAGCAAGGGCAGCCAAGTGCAAAGTCCTTCCTTTATGGAACCTCCGCGAGGGCATTCCCCAGTGGTGGAAGCTGAAGTTCTCAGCCCCCGCTTTAAATTTTGGTAGTGAGTTTGTGAGAAACAACTCTTCCTAAGGAAACTGGTTTCTCTGGGAGCTTAGTTGGAAGTTAAAACACCCTGGCAATAAAAGGAATTAATGACTTTAACATGACTTTTCTTCAAGGAGTGAAAGCTCAGTGACACAGTGTCTGAGGTGACTGAACTCTCCTGAAGTTCAGGGAGACAAATTCCATGGTTGCTTGAAGCTGGAACAGCAAAGCAACACTGAAATCCTGCAGTTTGGGGCTTGTTTCCCTGTGCTGTTGTGTGGGATAAAGGAGGAGCTCTTCCCTGGGTCTCACTGACTGATCCTGAGCAGTCCCTGCCCTGGATGATGGCAAGGAGCAGACACTTGTAGTCTAGAAATGCTCTTAACCATGTTTACTGTGGTGGGGTTTTTATAACTGCTGTGATTAACGTCATGCAAGAAACAAGCCTAACTCGAATTTTCTATGTCTTTTATAATAAAGATGTCTTTTGGAAAGAACGGTGGAACTGAAGGGCTCTCTTTGAATCCAGTGATGGTTTTACAGCTGAGCCTCTGCCCTGGATCTTGTATGGATAGTTTGCTTGGAAAAATTTCGTCTTCCCAAGGGGTGAGGTGGGGGAGCTGGGCTGACCTGTCCTATAGACGTGTGGCTGCAATGACACCCAGAGGCTGGAGTGTGGAATGTTCTCTGGGAAGCCACTGAGCAAGTGCATGATCCAAGGAGTCTTTTTGGGATGGCTTTGCCAGACCAGGTTCTAGAGAACAAAGGAATGATCCTGTTCCTTGGAATGTTGCCAATGCGTATCTGGTGGTTGTACCTTCCCACTGCTTGGATTAGCAGGTTTGATGTTGGAGTTTCCTCTAGGAACAACAGCTCCAGTAACACTTTTGTTTGTCCAACAGGTGCTCAGTGTTTCCAACACTTGTTTTCCTGCTCTCAGGCCCTGCCTGCTCCAGTCCAGAGCTTCAGGCACCCAGCTGGCTCCGGGGGAGGCAGCAAGGCTTTGTCCTTCCATGCTGGGAAGAAGAGAATTCCAAAGCAGAGCAACAAAGAAGCTCATTTTGGGGGTGAGAGGGAGTGGTAGGAGCACAAGGTCGTGTAAAACTTCCCTGCCTGCTCAGAACTGGCTTTTCACCTGTAGCAATTTTTCCATGTTATCTGGTGCAACAACATTATCTAATGGGCTTAAAATGAGCTGGATTAATTTTTTTTTTAAATCCTGAATGCTGAGGGGGAACAAAAACCACATGCAGGAAGCAGAATAGCTCAGGAACACTGAAAAGAATTTTTTAAATGACTCATCGTGTGCTACTCAGTGAAGTCCTGGCGAACCAAACAGCAGCTGCCTCCTATGATACTCGAGCTGTGCTTTTTTCCTTCCAAGACCGAGAAGTTGCACTGAGTGTTTCCTTAGCAGTTGGTTAATGAGGAAAGGCTGAGAGAAGGTGGCCTTTGGACACCTCCAGCTGGATGTTGTTCCTGTTGCATCTCCTTGTTCTTTCCCTTTTGGTTTCTGGTGCCACTTTTGGACCTTGATGCTCCTTCCTGACCAACAGTGTGGAAAAGGCTGGTAAACAAGTGTGATCTGAAACTTCTCCACCACATTCCTTCCCTTCCAGCCTTGCTTTAATCAAGGAAACATCTGTGTTTTCAGTCAGCTTTATTGATAAAATAAGTTTCCTATACAGTACACAATTCTAGCCATAAATCCTTTCCAAGCCATCCGAGTTACAAAAATAATGGTATGCCATGAAAAATAGTCACTCCACACACTGTGAAGGCTCTTCAGAATCCTGAAGTGATCAGGGCAGAGGGGTGAGAGGGGAGACATATCAAATGTGAGGGCTGGGAGTAGATAAATTAAGTTGCATTTCTCTTCAATTTACAAAAATAAACACTAATCAAGCATTATTTCATAATAGAGCAACCTCCAAGTGTTGCCACAGACCAACAACCCTCTTCTGGAGTCAGAAGTCAAGCCAGAATTCAGCCATGGAGCTGCATCAGCATCCAAGGGGTGGAACTGTCTCTGACACCAGTCAATGGCTGAAAAAATGCTTCCAGAAACAGGAACTTCAGCAACTGAACCCAAAATCTCTCATAAAGTTTGCAACAACAGAACACTCCAGTGAAAAAAAGATGTTGCTTCTGGCAAACCACGGCAGAAATGCAAAATCTAAATCAGAGCAGCACCGGCAAGGTTTTACAGAAAATAACAGCAGGCAAGAATATTCTGTGCTGGAGCTAAAATGTTCCCCCAAAAATTTCCCTTGGATGTTGAGCAAGTTTGGAAATGGTTCTAACTTTGTTTCCATGCAGGTGGATGTCCTCAGTGTGTTGTTAAGCCTAGAAGGTGCTCTGGGAGGAGAAGCAGCAGTTTCTCCATTTATAAAATGTGCTGTGAAAATGAGCTGATTTATCTGTCCTTTCTGCATATAAATTAATGGAGGCCCAGGAAGCTGGATTTAAACTGGCACCCTTGGAAGTGCTGGATCTGAGTTCCTTCTGTGTTGTTGTCACTGAAAATCAAACTTGCATAAGGCGTGATTTCAGAGTAGTTCAGCTCTGCTTAACTCACCTTAAAACCTTTTTGGTGACTGATTAGTACTGAAGAAAGGGAAAATCAGAGTATTAATTGCAGGCTGCCACCCTTGCCCTGAGCTGCTCCTCCTCCCACCCACCTTTCTGCAGCCACTGCTTGGGTGCTTTCCAGTTGCTATTTCCCAGTTAGGAAGTTTAGTCCCATCTATTCCTTCTCCAATGTGGCTTTTTCTGCCTCTCTGCCCTTTCCATCAAACAGGTTTGTTGCAAAATGAGGATTTATTAAAAAAGAAACCAAAGGAAAAAATGTGGATCACGCACAAAGCATATTCATAAGTTACTCCTTTTTAGCCAGAGATTGGACTTGAAATCTTACCTTTTCTTATTAGAATAGTTGCACTGAAACTTTGCATGAGCAATAACTTATATAAGTTATTTGAAATCTCATCTTTTATCTGCAAAATGATTTCATATAAAAGGAATTCCCGTGAATCCATTTCCTGCTGGAGTCAGACCTATGGCAATGAGTCTGTCACACCAATGTAATTTATTTCACACAGTATAAAAGCCACTGAGCTGGAGTTTGACACGTCCTCTTGCTGGTGCCCTATTCAGGAACAAGTGCTTGACCAGTGAGCCCTGATGCTCCGTTGGGAAAGTGTGCAATTGAGGCTTTCTGGTTCCCACAGTCCTTAGCTTTTCCTCAGGCTCAAATCACTGCTTGTCACTAATCCTGACAGGGAAGTGCTCTCTGACGCATCCTCTTTCTTGAGGTTCAGAAATGATTCTCTAGTGATTTGGAGGATTTCTCTCAGGCCTTTGTTTTCTTGCTAAAAACAGAAAGAACAAGGCATTTAACAGGACTCCAGGAAGAACATGGGAATTACATTAGCAGCCTTCCCTCTCCTTCAAACTAATGCAAAGGATTAAAATCCTTTATCTTCTGCAACTGAGAACATCAGGTTTCTGACCCTCCTGCTCTGTTACGGCTCCCCTCTGCACCCCACCTTGAGAGAAAGCTGGAGTGGTGAAATGGCACTTGCACCCCTCCAACCAGGGAAGTGTAACACAACAGGAACTCCACAGAACCAGCTGTGCTGCCATTCCCTGCCTTGCTCCTTGTTGCAGTGGTGTTCCACCCTCACCTCGAGCTGGGTGATGCGTTCCTGCTCTTTGCAGCCGTGCCTCTCATCGATCTCAATGGCCTTTCTCATCACTGCTGCCATTTCGGTGATCTGGTCCACATGCACCTGCAGCTCCTGACACAGAAAGGGTCAGTAATATATTAATTTAGCAATATATTTAACAAAATGAAGCATTAAATGTGCCTCATTTTAACTGCTCTGACAATTTATTAACATACACCTAAATTTTGGAAAATAAGCTCCCATGGTATGAGGCCACCATGGTCCTGTTTATTCTAATCAATCTGGTTTGTCCCACACTGACCCCTTTTATCAGAAGTTTCTTAACTGTGTCTTCCACGGCCTCCAAATAGAGTCGGCCTGGTGCTTGCCTTGCCAAGGCCTTCCTGTGCAGCAGGAATTGCTGTGTATCATTTGGGATATGCAAAACAACTCAGCTGAGAGCAGCAGGGTCTGCAACATTCTTTCCAGTTGGAAACCTGATCCCCAGGACCAGCCCATGGACATTTATCTTTTCAGGACACCAGAGGCAGTGGTCATCCTTTCGATGTCCTGTCTTAGGAAACTCACATCTGTCCTTCAGTCTTTTTTTAGATACTTCTGCTTGAATCCACCTCCAATTCCAGCTTATGTGGGATCTGGGTTTCAGAGGTTCAGGAAACACTGAAGGGTCACCACTGCCTTTCTCTGCAGAGCCTCTGAATTCCCTCTGGAATTTACTGCTGCCCAGTTAAGCCAGAGAGTGGAATGGTGTTCCCAGAAGCTTTTGTCTTGCATTGTCTTTTTCTCCACTTGTCTTTTATTCCAACTGTACTATGATGCCAAGTCTTTGTCATGCCCAAGCCCTAATTCAGCCGTTTCCTCCTCCAATGCCCACTCCCATGGGAGGGGCCAGGGAAAAACTTGCTGTAAATCTTTATTTGCTGCTCAGTTTCCAGTGCAGGTGATGACAGGAAACATTTTTTCAAAGAAAACCCAAATTTAGCTTGGCAGGAAGCTGTGGTCAGGCAGGGATAAGACTTGAGAAGGGCTGTGGGTTTCAGATATCCTGCTCTCCTCCCTCCTTCCTATTTTCCAGCTTCTGTGCCTCAGGATCATTATGACTTCAGGCCTGTTCCAAGGTCATTGATGTCAGATCAGATATTAACAGAAATCAATGATCTCCTGTAAACAGGCACTAAAGGCACTTGAGGAAACAGCCCTTTCTGGTACAGCTGATTCCTTGGCTATAATGGATTTTTTACTTAACAAGAGTGTTTAAAAAGTGCTTCAAGACTGTTAACCCTTACTTAATGTGAAGGCTGAGCAGGAGAAAAAGTAATGAAATTCCAGAATCCTAAATGTCAGGTTAAGGGTAATAAATCCCCTTCATCAGGCATTCTTGTGGGATCAGGTTTAACAAAAATGTAGAAGCCTAAATCTCCAGTCTCTCCATAATATTGTGTGATGTTATTTTTTCTTTTTTTTTTTTCTTTTTCCTCAAGCTTTTAATCCACTGCAGTGCTCCTAAATGAAATTTCCAAGTCCATCTGAGGATGGATATAATTTTACTTTCCTGTGTTGGTGCTCCTGAGTCTGTAAGAGCTGTTATACCATGTGCTGAGGTAACTTCTTCTGTAAAGGATCTATACCTGTCCTTTTGTAAGATTTTATGCTAAAGATATAGTTCGAATCCAGTAACGTTTTTCAATATTCCAAAGGGATTTTAAAATATTTTTTTTTAATTTATGATATTTAAGGTAAAAATATTTGATTATTGGATTTAAAAAGCTTGTTCTTCCTAGTAAGCACGGGTTCATTAATTACGTGTTGGAGTCCAGAGCATTAAGCTAAAACCAGTCTAAAAATGTGAACATCACTGAGATCTGGCAGTGCAATAGGACAGTTGCCTTAAAGATCAAAGTAAAACAAAAGTAAATTAAGTAGATACAGTAATGAAATGCTACTTGTTTAAAGTTTAAATAAGTGAGAAGCTGGTAAGGTTGAGTTACTCAATTGCTCAAGTTTCCTGTTTGTGTTGCATGGACTGGATTACAAAAATTAGGACTTGTTGGCAGTACAGTGATATAAAAAGTGAGACAAAGTAAGCTTTGGACTAATCCACTATGAAGTGTTAATTTAAAAAAACAAAGGCCAAAACCTCAATGGAGTTCTTACCTTGGAATGTTGCTCTTTTAACTTTGTTATTATACTTGGGTCATCTTTTTTGCTGGCCATAAGCAGCCTGAACATCTGTTCTCTGTACTTGCTCATGATGAGCTCCAGAGCAGACTGATGCTCCTCCAGAGATGTGCGTAGTTCTGCCAACAGGATTTAAACTTCGGTTAGAGTTTAACAAAGAACCAAGGTCTTGACAGGAGGAGAAGTACATTCCTAGTGTACAGAATTCCAGAAGGAATTACACAGCTGTGCTTACACCACAACTGTTCTGACTGCTCCTGAGTTAGTTGTTTTTAGCAGTGGGAAAACACATCTCCAAACAGATCCCTCTATTGCAGAATTAAGTTCTATTTATCTCCTCACTATTTCCAGTGGTGCAACTGGAACTTGGAAAGGATAGAATTTTCATGTTTTACCTTTATTTTCCTGCTGCAATTCCCTAATCTGTCTGTTTTCCTGCTGGATCCCCATCACCAGCGTGGACCGAGGGCGATGTCTTGCTACTTCATTGAGCTCTTGGATTTCTTCCTGGTACTGGGTATTGAAAAAACCAACAAGGCACAACATATTGAGTAAACAAAGGCTGACATTACACACCAGTTAACAAAGCACCACTTCTGTCAGTCAGGGTCTGTAACCAGCAAGACAATGTTTGGTTTTAAATAATAATATCAAAGGCACAAAGGTGTTGTTGACATGCTGTCCTCTAGAGACATAAAAGCATCACCTTTGTTTTTAAACAAGTTTCATTCCATAGATGTGCATAGTGGGTATTATTTATGCAGGTCAAGTTCACCATTAGGTAATCTAGAACTGATAGAGATGTGGTAGAGACAAACCATGAGGTATTAACCTCTCTATACTCACTGTGGCTTCCCAGTCCCTTAAACCACAAGACTCTATGGGTACAAGTCACACAGATCCGAGTGAGTGGATCCTGACTCCCAACAGAAGGGTAAATTCAATACTCTTGATCTGAAACCATGAAGCCTCGGCATGACGAGTTTTACAGGGCTGAATCACATGCAGAGTTTTATTATTTTATAGCCCTGTTAAGATATCCTGTGTTTTATTAACGTGACAGGATGAACTCCCATATGGAAAGTCAGGAGACACCTTTACATTCTCCAGGAGTTCTCTACTGAAATCTACTCAATCTAACGACATGCCTTGACCACCAGAACAGACATGATCACAAGTGAGAAAACCTTTTCACAGGATCCAACTATACAAACAACCTATTTTTAGGTGGCAGTCACACCTACAATAAAAACACCTCTGGCATTAAAGGATTACCCGACACTGTACTGATTCTACAGCAGCACAGAAGTGACAGGAAATTCCATGCTGATGTCCCAGTGGAGTAACTAAGGTTGGGAAGCAAACCTGTTTCATGGCCTCAACCCTCTTGTTGAGCGCCGTGGTCTGTTCGATGAGTGCCTCAGCCGCGCTGTCGTGTTCCCGCAGCCGCTCCACCAGTGCCTTCGCGTCCGCCAGCGCCTTCTCGATCGTGCAGCTCATTTCTGAACATCACAAACCATCATTTCCACCACACCCCCCAGTCGCTACGCACACAACAACTATCTGCGGGATAGAGCTTTGTTTTTTAGCCTGAAGCAGCTGGATACAACCTCCTGACAGTAGGATAATTAAGGTATAAATCAGGTTTACAGCAGGCTGGAAGATTTTGATGACTTAAGTTGGCAGAGAAGGAACAGCTCAAACTGATGGAGAAGAGAAAACTGCTCAGGGAAAACTCAGAGAATTAAATTTCTTCATGTCTATAAATGAACACAAACATCACTGCCTGGAATGGAACTGTGAAATTTTCTGCAGGATGGAGAAAGACAGCGAGGAAAAGGACCGACTGCATAATTAAAATACCAGCTTCCAATTGCAGTAGTTGTTCAGAGAAATTACTTATGGCCACAACTGCCAAGCTTGCAAAATGCTTGGACATACCAGCATTTCCAAAACACTGGCCTTTACACTGAATTTTTTTTGTATTCATGTTTAGTCGATTAAGTTTCAAGACCAAGATTTTCAGCCTTTTTCATTTTCTTTTCAGAAACCTTGCACTTGTTCTACTGAGAAGGAAATCTACTTCAATTCCTTCAGCATCAGACAGCAGCGATAGAGGTTTATGAGAGTTATGAGACTTACTGATATCAGGCTTAATATTTGCTTTAGGAAATGTTCTAAGGTACAGCAAGAATCAGCTAAATCCATTTCTTAGCCAGGCTGTTTGGGAAAGTAAAGATTTTTGTGAGGATTAAAGATTATTGAGTCTTTCCTGAGCTACATGGAAAAAAATTGCTTCAAGTTAATTTTTTTTTAACTTTTTCGGGCACCTTTACAAATCATAGTACAGGATCTTTATGCCAAGCTTAAAGAAATCCTCAAATTTACCTCAACTGACCTTTTCCCACTGTCCTGGGTAAGTAGTAGAAGGAAGGATATTTCAACCACCAGAAATTCAACCTGTGTTTTCTGGGATTATGTGTGTTATCAAAAACATCTGGATTTTGGCACATAGATTCCTACGAACATTCCTAATGTTGATTCTTTCCTGTTTGTTTATCAAACAGCATTTTCATTTAAATTGCCATCTGATGTATCTGAGGTATCAAGTTCTTCAGCAAAGAACTATCTGTGTTATCACTGGTAGTTCATTTATTCACTCTAATTTAACAGAGTGCATTGTTTTTAGGGATCTGCTTTCCCTGCTCCTCCTTCCAGTCTCAGATTCCTACTGGACCACAGAAATATCCCAGACAAGAGATGACTTTCCAACTTGCTGAACTGCTGCAGGAATTGATTTAATGAGATCCATGTTTGAGTGAAAGGCTGCTCTTCAGATTTTCCTTAATTCACGGTCCATGTGTAAACATTCAGAATTCTTTCTGGCTGCCTATGACAAACAAAACCTTTGCCTTATCCTGCAGTTGAGCTAAACCTGGGAGTTAACCTGGACAGTCAGGGGGGAAAAAACCCCAATTAATTAAATATAATTGATTTAAACAAATTCGTATGGTATATTATTTTTATGAGCATGACTACAGGAACTAAATTTAATTATTCCTGAACTCTGCCCTACAAGAGATGCCCAGTTCAGAGCAACCTTGTCAACAGGTACCAGAGCAACAACTCAGCCCAGCAACACTCCTCCTACACATCCATTCCCTGGCACTTCCTGCTATTTACTAATGGCTTCCCTTAGCACATTAAAGAAAAAACAACACTGAATAATAAAGATTTTTGTGCAATTATTTAGTTTTCTGTCTCTTTTTTCCTTCGTATCCTTACTGGAAACCTCATTTTCCCACAGCTCCAGGTTTTACCACAGTGACCAGCTGGGCAGCGCTGAGCCAGGATGCAGTTTCCAAGGAATTCAGGCGGATGCAGAAGTCCACCAGCATTCCCGATGGGACAGGGGCATCCTTGGGGTGTCATCGCCACACTCCCGTTGTGACAGGACCATCCCGGGGGTGTCACCGCCGGGAGAGTCGCCTTCCCCCCCACCCCCCCTTCAAACCCGCCGCCATCGCGAAACCAGCGCCGGCCAAGACGAGCGTCTGAGGGGTCCCTCGCCCGTCCCCGCTCGCGGGTCTGATGGAGGTGGGGGGGCTCCTCTTCCCTCACGGCGCCCCAGCCGTGGGGCGGGCCGCCGCGCTCCCGATCGTCCGGCTGCGGCCCCTGCGGCGCCCCTGGTTCCCACGAACCCCTCAGGGTACTCACTCATGCCCGGGGCTCCGGCGGCGCCGGGGTGAGCCCGGAGCTGCCCCGGCGACTGACAAATGGCGGCCTGAGGGGCTGCGTCGTGCACCCGCCAGGGGGCGCTGCAGCACTGGTCGTGCGCGGCTCTCGCGAGAGGACACCCCGCCTCCACTCCATCACCGCCCCGCCCCAAATCTCGCGAGAGGTCTCGGCGAGCTCCCTGGGCCTCCCGAGGCGGGTTTGAGCCAAACTCGGGAAATTTGTTTTAAAATTGTTGATAAGCAGCTGCGCCGGGACAGAGGTGATTAACGTATTGCGTTGTGAGCTGGATTAGGCTGGCTGTTGGGGACGCCTTCTTCCCTGTGAGGGTGGTGAGGCCCTGGCACAGGTTGCCCAGAGAAGCTGTGGCTGCCCCATCCCTGGAAGTGTCCAAAGCCAGGTTGGAGCAACCTGGTTTAGTGGAAGGTGACCCTGCCCGCGGCAGGGGGTTGGAACTGGATTATCTTTAATGTCCCTACCAACCAGCAAACGGGGTCGAGTACAAATTAACAGACAAGTTATGTAACGTGCGACCAATGAGCGCTGGTGCCCTTGTTTGTTAAAATGTAAAAATAGCGTGACGTTTCAAAGAACAGGGATTTTTTTGTGGGAGCAAAATGGAATAAAGCACAGAAATCCCCCACAAACGGCAATGAGAATTGCCTCAAACACTGGGATAAAGCAGAGGATTCCCTGGCAGCCTGGAATAAAACACAGAATTCCCTCAGAGACCGGAATATAAGCAAAGAATTTCTTCGCAGATTGGATTAAAGGAGAGAATTCCCTCACAAACGGGAATAAAGCAGAGAATTCCTTCATAGACTGCAATAAAACACAGAATTCCCTCACAAACCGGAACAAAATACCCGACTCTCTCCCCGCGAGGCGCGCACCGCGGTCACAGATCTCGCGAGAGCTCATCCTGTCCTCCACTGGTCCCGCCCCGAGGGCTGCCCTGAGCTCTCGCGAGATCCTGCGGCGCGCGCGCTCCGGGCGGGGCGAGGGCCCGGGAGGCACCGGGCCCGGGATCGGGACGGGGACAAGGAGCGGGAGCAGCACGAGGAGCGGGGCCGGGCGCGGCCTCGGCATGTCGGGCGAGTGACCCCCTCCCCCCAGCGCGGCGCGGGCGCTGTGGCCCGTGGCGGAGGCGCGGGCAGGGTGCGCCGGGCGCTCCCA